TTTTATACAAAGAAAATGAAATTTATCAAATTTTAAAAATTTTTTTTCTCATTATAATTACTAATTTACAATCAATCATTCCATTTTTTATGCGCTTAATACATTTATCAATGCTCACATTTCTTATGCTAATAACGATCAAGCCACAGCTTGAATAACGTCGCAGTTATTTTGGGTCCTTATATGTAATATTTTTAAAAAATTAGGCCCTTATATGTAATTATTTGGACCCGTATTTGCAATTATTTTCACTTTCCGAGCCATTATTTGTAAATACACCTTAATTTTAAGTTAGAATAGAGGCTTAGTTATTTGTAAAATTATGTTGAAACATAGTTTCCATTATAATAAGTATTTGAATTTCTTAATATAATATTTTATCCTTGGTTCCGATCGGTTTTCACGTGACCGGGTGATTGGTGTGGTATTGTGATTATTTTGTAAGTGAATTGTCGTGGTATTTTGATTGTATAACGTTCGTTCTTGGTCAATAAATGCTTCATCAGTCTCTGAAAGAAGGTTATGATTATAAAATATATTTGGTTTCGAAGTTTGAGTAGAAGGAATGAAAATTCTTCAATAACCATTTCATAAGTGTTGATTGGTGTAGTATTTCCTTGGCTAATAAATATTCCGTCAGTTTCCGAAAGAAGAATATGATTATAAATATGCTAGGTTTCAGAAGTTTTGTAAGTGTTGATTGGTGTAATATTTTGACGAATTTGTGTTCCAAAAAAAGATCATGGATTAATTAACGCGGTATTTTGGTTATATAACGTTTGCCCTTGGCCAACAAATGGATCAGTAGTTAGAAAGAAGGAATAGTAGCGATATGATTATAAGTATGCGAGGTTACGAAGTCCGAAATAATAGTTTCGTAAAGGTTAATTGATGTGGTAATTAGTGTTGGTTCTTGATTAATAAGTGCTTTGGTGGTTCTAAGAGAAGGTTCATGACACAGTATTTGATCATCTGGCATTGCCCTTGGCCAATGAATGACACAAAAGTTCTCGGAGGGGTGTTTTCACAGTAGAGATTATTTTTTTTACAGTATCCACAGGTGCCATTGATATCCTCTTCAGAAGGTTTTCGCATCTTTGGTGCCTCGTTTGACAATTTTACGTGCTTGAGTCGCAGTAGTACGTGATCTTTGTGATCTATTTGATTGAAACATGTAAGATATCTAATATGTGCGTAAAAAAGTTTAAAGCACTCTGAATATTACTACAATGCTTGTAAATAATTTGATCTTGACCTCTTCCAAAGAACGTTTTTTGCTTTTTTATATTTAAAAAAAATCTCATGTTTGAAAGATTGAAGATTATATTGGGGATCGTTTGTTACATTTCATTTTTTTATCCTTGATCAGAATTGTATATATTTTAACCGACAAAAAAAGTAGTTATACAAATATATAGCTTATTATCATATTACGGCTAAAATATATACAATTCTGATCAAGGATCAAAAATTTTAAAAAATTAGTGACAAATCCGTTTATGGCTAGATCTGTTAACATTTGACAATCCGTAATATGATAATAAGCTATATTATAACCATATACGGTTATTCAAATAAAAATGCAAAATGTAACAATGATGGTATTATTATCATATTACAGTATTACGGATTGTCACTTAAATTTTTTAAAATTTTTGATCAATAAAAAAAATGAAACGTACAAACGATTCTCAATATAAATCTTATTACTCTCAAAATATGAGCCTGTCAAATATAAAAAAAGCCAAAGGCGCTCTTTTGGATGGTACTTTATTTTTTACATTCATATCACAATATTTATTTTTTTACCTAGTATTACCGCTGCTGTTTTAAATGTCTCAATCAAATAGACCACAAAGATTACGTACTAATGCGACTCAGGCATGTACAAATTGTCAAGCGGGACATCGAAGGTGTGAAAGACTTTCTGAAAGGGACGTTTGTGCATACTGTAGAAGATATGGACTTAACTGTATCACTATCCCGGGTATGAGACGCGGGCGAAGACCTAGGTCGCCCAGAACTACCAAAGCTCTCTATTCTTTCGAAACTGTTGTGTCATTCATTGGACAAGGACAAATGCCAGATGATCAAAATACCGTGTCAATTAATTTTTATGAACCTTCTCTTAGAATTACTGATGCATTTATTAACCAAGAAACTACTACTACACACCTCGGAACCTCACATACTTATAATAATATCGCTACTATTCCTTCTTTCGGTGCCATTAATGCATTCTTTGACCAAAGACAAACGTTAAATGACCAAAATATCGTACTAATTAACCCTTATGACCCTTTTTTTGAAACTACCGGAACATTAATTGACCATGAACCAACACCAAATCATTCATATATTTATAATCATATCACTACTATTCCTTCTTTCGGAACTACTGATGCATTCATTGGCCAAGGGCAAACGTTAGATGACCAAAATGCCGCGTCAATTAACTCTTATGAATCTTTTTTGGGAACTACCGGAGCATTTATTGGCCAAGAACTAACACCAAATCATCAAAATACTATATCAATTAACACTACAATTCCTTCCTTCGGCCAAGGGCAAACTTTAGATGATCAAAATACTGCGTCAATTATTAACCAAGAACCAACACTAATTACCACATCAAATAACCTTTATGAAACTACTACTACTGAAGAACTTCAATTCTTCTACCCAAACTTCGAAACCCTACATGTTTATGATTATAGCCTTTTGAGGGCTGCCGAAGCGACTGTCGATAGTTATAATCGTAACTTTCTTTTGGAGACTGCCGAAGCATTTGCTGATCAAGGATCATCGTTAGATAATCAAAATACCACGACAATTTTTAGAGAAGCATTTATTGCCCAAGAACAAACACCAAA